AGCAGTGCCATCATTTCAGCATCAGTCAGTCCACAGAGGGAGTATAGATGTTTCTTTGCAAGAAGCAGGCTTTCAGAACACAGCAGATCCTTGAATAGACTGCATGGGTATTATTTTTTTTAGTCCTTCCTCCTGTGGGATTCATGAAAAGCTGTGTCTTGTTTTTACAGATTATTTTTGAGGCAATCCGTGGTGTCTCAATGAGAAGTGACACTGCTATTGACGATATTGTGTTCCAGGCAGGACCCTGTTTAGGTAAGTTTAAACATATTTTGTTTCTCTTAGGAGCCATCTAGTAATTCAGAGTGTTCTCTTTATAATTAGGTGATACTTCTTCCCTTGAATCTCCACTGAATAGATATTAATTTAGTATCATGCTACTGAGTTAATGCAGAATTTTTCTTTTCAAGTAAGATGCAAGGTCACCTTCAGAACCTGGACTACTAAAAATGCTCTAACACTTTTTAAAAATTTTAAATCCAGCATGGTAATTACATTCCGTCTTATGCATTCTCATGTATAATAAAAATAGAAATAATTATATTGCTGCCCTCTTCTTTATATTCTAGAAGTGGAAGAAATTCAGTTCTCATCAGGCCATCCTGACAGCTTAAACGAAATTGAGTACTAAATATAGTCTGCTGAAAGGAATGAAGTGTGTAGAAGATGTCTATGTGAGAAACTGCACAAACTGCCTATTTAAAACATGTTTGAAGTGAATACTGGACTGGTTTGGATATGCACCGAAGTATAGGAAGAACTTAGCACACATGTTCCTCACCTTTGCAAGTAAATTAATGACTCAGGGCTTCTTAGACTGTTTTTGAATATTTTTATCTCTTTTGCATGAGGTATCAGTTACTATATAAAAGCTTCCCATTTTGCACAGATTGTGAATTTCAATGCTTCCGTTTAGCTTTTTTTTTTTTTTCCCCCTTTGGTAACCTTTCAGGTATATAAGTAAAAAGAGGAAAGTAACGGTGCACAATTGAAAACCAGTATTGTGGTATGTTAAATGTGCATTCAGTGAATGTTTTGTGTTGGGTACAGAATGGTTTTTTGTTAAGGAAATTATTAAATATTTTGAAGTAATCAAGAAAATAGTATTAGCTACTAGTAATAGCCTACAGGTCAAGTGCAATTACTCATGATGACAAATCTCTCTGGGAAACTCTTAACACTCTGCTGGCAATTTTTATGTGGTTTTGTATTCTTTTGCTATAACAAATATATGTTGTCCTTGCCAATAACAGACGCACTTTTAATGTTCTTGTGTAATTCAGTGTAAGATGCTGACATTTTGAACAATATGAAATGAAAACCCCTGAAACTGTATGTTTTCTGTCATACAAGTCTTGGGGTTTTCTTAATAAATCAGTTTGTACACTCACAGAGAGTGTACATACACTTTATCTAACTGGGGATGCTTTGCCTTTCTATTAAGAGGAAACTGAATTCACACAACTTGTTAATTTTTGAAGATTTAATGTGTTTGTGTGTAAGGTTTTGTTTTGAAATTACTATAACTTCCTAATAAAATGTAACTTTGAAAGTAATATTATTGCTCTGCTCTGGACTTTATAGTTACCAGTATAATAAGAAGCAACTAAAACTAGTATAATAGCCTGAACTCAGTACTTTGAATACGAACAGAATGCAATGTGTGGGTTGCATCACCTAAGCCAGTTGACAGAAGACAATCTGATCTGCTGAAGGAAGTTCCTGTACTGAGCCACAGAAATTATTTGTAAAGCCACTGCATTCAAGCTGTTGCTGCAACATGTGACCCCTGAAAAGTGGGAATAACCTTTGCTCCTTCCAGAACAAAGTATACATTTCTGTGAACGGCCTACAAGGATCAACAGTACCTGCTGAGACAGTCTAGCCCCTTGCATCTTTATTAAGTTTTCATTTCAATAACACAATTGAAAAGATTGTTCAATTAAATACATTCAGTACTAATGTGTTTATCTGACCGTACAGTTTATTATTTCATAGGGACTGAGGAAGACTCAAAAGGAATTGACATCTTAACAGCCTGTCCTAACTACCTGCAGTCGCCATTGGCAGCTGGTTATGAACACATGACATTTGCTGTTATTGTGGAAATGAAGCCAACGATAGACTGTTTGCTAGGAGTCAGTACAGTCTTACAGTTGTGCTGTAAAGTGTATGTTTTGGTGTCAAAATTCAGATCGACTTATCTAAGCAGAAAACAAGGGAAAACTAAGTGTTTAAAATCGTTGGTGTTCCTCCATACTTCCGCTGGGACTTTAGTGTACATGAAATGAAGCACGAAGTGTAATTATTGGATTCCTACCTCCAACAATTCATGCAACTCTGCTTCACTCCATCCAAGTAATCAGTTTCAAGCTAATGCTGAGGATCTGATTTTTGCCCCTCACTACAAGAAGGATGTTGAGGTGCTAGATTGTGTCCAAAGAAGGGCAGTGAAGCTGGTGAAGGGTCTGCAGCACAAGGATCACAAGGAACATCTAAGGGAACTGGAGCTGTTTAGCCTAGAGAAGAGGAGGCTTGGGGTGTTGTCCCAGAAAAAACCACTGTGTTTTTCTTTCACTAGGGAAAAGCACCTTTCCACCCATTTCTGCTGCAAGGGTTAAAGAACAGAGGCAGAATTTGAAAGGTAGCTTTAAACTACTTCAATGCCTGCTGAGTATCAGTTTATAGAATAGGAAATTCACAGACTAATAAAAGAATGGCTGCAAAAATTCTGAAAACTAGGAAAGGTGCATTAAGACTTCTCCACTGGTAAATTTCAGTTCTATGGTGAGATAAAAAACAGTCTGTCAGCTCTGTCCAAATAGCAAACTCCTCAAGCAACTAATTTCTGCCCTGGATCCATTTTTACTTGCTACTTGTTCCTTTGTAACTGCTGCAGTAGCTGTACATGGACCGCAGCTGGGCAAAGAACAGTTCTGAAACTTGCTATACTATACTTTACAAATCTCAGAACTGGAGAACCTGAAAGTAACTGCTTTGATCCCCATAATGGCACAGTCCATGAAATGGAAATGAAAAAGAAATCTTCAAAAGCAGCTCTAACACCCCAAACACCAGCAGGGTTGTGTTCGATTGCTCTAAATGTAGCTCAGATGAAAAGCCCCTTTATTGCCCTCTTGTTTAATATTATTTTTATTCTTTAAATATTTTCCATCAGTTGACATTCTGTCATTATCCTGACTAATTTCTAAAAAGGAGGGCCAAATTCAGATCTCAGTTACACCAACAGAAAACCAGAGTAACAACATAAAGCATTGTTACTCTAACTTTACACTAACATAAATGGAACTGTATTCTGGCTGAATGTTGTGTCTCATCAAAATAAACCTGACAGAAACCCAACTTGACAGTCCTGAAGCTTCACTAAGACCACTCAAGCTAAGCAGTAAAAGACATGGCATTTTATCTGCCTGGATCTGAACACAGCTCAGGAGTGTGACTGCCCACACTCAGGAGACCCAATGCTCTGAAAGAACCACTGTCTAAGGTAAAGGCTGACGAGAGCATGCTTTTCCTGCAGCATCACACATTGGGCCAAAAGGTTCTCTCCCTGGTCAGTTGAAATCTCAGTCTCATCCTACCTCAAACAAAACACTAGATGTCAGATGCTGAATTTACTTAATTTTAACATTTCTTTCAGAAAAAAAAATTCAATTTGTGATTTCAAGTTTCTTAGTTGCTTAAGTATGAATGAATAAAATTTCAATACACGTTTACATTGCTTTGATCTATATTCATCTTCTTGCTGTTTCCCATCCTTCTGTTATTTTCCTGCCCACCTCCTGTGCCTTTCAGTTTTTCCAACCTGCATATGGTTTTTCTGAACAGCAGAATTTTGGAATCTTTCTTAGCCAACTGCATATTCTGCTATGTTCCGTTGCTCAATAAGTACTGTGTTACATCTTGCTTCTCTTATATTCTGTATTAGCTTTGGCATCTTCTCTTATTTCAGAAACTCCTCTTGGACCAAGCACTGCCTACTTTGCAGCCTTCACCATCTCCTTTTTTTCAGCTCTTACCAGCATCCACACTCACCGGATCCTGAAAAATGTTCCCTGACAAAATTCTGAGAAAACCAGATCTCTTCAGCAGTCTCTAGTGGTAATATGTTGAAATGGTTCCTTAATCTACCACCTCCTTCTATTTTGTCTGGAAGTCACCTGCTACCTAATGAGTCCAGCTCTATACCCTTTTGGTCTGCAAGCTTGACACTTGACTGATTAAGAAGACTACAATTTTTATCGATTAAGTAAAACGTTACCAACTAATAAATCAACAAATATGCTTATTAATTTACAGATTTTCAGTTTTATTATCCGTTCCTCTCCACACCACGTAGTACTAGGGTGAACTTCTGTGCTTTATTCTTCTACACCAAGTCTTCTGGACATGGGCCTTGTGGAAAGTCCAGCAGGTTATCTGAAGTAGCTGTCTGATGTTCTGGTGGGCTAGGACACACAGTCAGCTTCATGACTATCCGTGGGTAATGCACTCATACTGTTGGAGCAGAAGTCCCCTTCATTCTCTTAACAGACTTAAATGTTTCTTCTTCCATTTTTCCCCCTGTATCTGGAGCAACTTTTTCACTGCCCTTGTATGTCCTTTTATCTACTTAAATTCCCCTCAAAGAATCAACCTGCCTTAAATTACCTTTTCCTCATTGGTCCCAATTCTGCTACATCCATACCTAAAGATGCTGTTCTGGTGTCTCGGTCTTTGCAGGGTATTACAGGTAAGAGTTGCTTAGGTACAGGTGGCCTTGCAACCCTCTGCATGCCAAGGATCTAGCTCATACTGGAAAAAAACATTGTTTCCCTTGTAAAATTTATAGGACAAATCTTCCCAGTTATGTGTTGATTCCTTTACCTAGTCCCACTTCAGCACAAGAGTTTCTTACCTCTGTCTTTCAGCAGTCTTAATCAGACTCCTGGTCCCTGACAGAAGCTTTGGCTAGTTTTGAAGCCTTTGTGCTGTGGCTGGAACTCTTGATCTGCAAGAAAAAATAAAGCAGGTGGGACAGATAAGGTACCTGCAGGAGTCTCAGTGATTGTTTCCAGTCACTGGTGATTGCCCTGCAGTCGAGGTGCCAAAATCTCACACACATGCATTCCTTTAAGACCACTTCTATCCTTCCTAGAGACTTCACGACCTCTCAAGAAACACAGGCACAAAACGTTTTTCCCGTTGCTTTGTTACAAATTAAGAAAAAGTACAGAAGCCCAGACACCCGCTAGACAGCGGGAAGAG